GCAATACTAACTTGTTTGCCATAGTGTTCACTTCGGCTAAGACTGTATAAGGACCATAGTATTTCAAATTCTTTGTCAAAGCAAGAGAGGTTTGTCTGTATGGCTGAAGTTTAAGATAGACCTTGTCACCTACCTGGAGCACTCTTTATCTGATCTCCTTTTATCTGCATACAACTTCATCCTTTCTTGAGCCTTGTGGAGGTTGTCCTTCAAAAGCGGTTACATTTGTTGTCTTTGCATAAAAACATCTTCAGCAGTAGGAACAATAGTCTCAAGCAGGGGTCCAACAGATAGGTGTGGTGGTGAACAACTATAAAGAGCCTCAAATGGAGTACTCTGCAAACCAGTATGGAAATTGGTTTTGTATTGCCATTCGGCAGAATGAAGCCACTGTCTCCGATGAGTAGGCATGTTAGAGGTCATGCATCTCAAGTAGTTCTCAATGCACCTATTCACTCTCTCAGCCTGGCCATCAATTTGAGGGTAATAGGCAGTGCTAAAGTGTAGTTAAGTACCCAATAGTTTGAACAAGGACTGCCAAAAATTGCTAAGAATTTTTTTTGTCTCTATCAGATACAATTGACTTAGGAGTGCCATGTAAGCAATGCATCTTCTTCCAAAACTTGTGATCTACAGTGGCTGCATTAAAAGGGTGGGAGTGGGCAACAAAATGAGCATACTTTAATTGCATGTCCACTACTACTAGTATCACATCCTTGGACCTGGATTTTGGCAATCCTTCGGTAAAGTCCATGCTTATGTGACTCCAATTTTGATTAGGGGTTGGTAGAGGTTGCAGTAGCCCTAGGTAGGCTACATTCTCATCCTTGTTCTTGTGGCATACATCACAACTCTCAACAGGAATGGTGGTCATAACAGTTTTGAGAGCAACAAAGGCTGCATTAGCTTCTTCATTCCACTTAAAGGAATCCTTCTTCAATAAGTCTGCCAAGGGTTTGCATATGGTACCATATCTTGCTACATATTTTCTGTAGTAATCTGTTAGCCCCAAGTATCCTCTAAGAGTAGTAAACAGAACAATAAGTTGATGAATATGATCCTCAAGAGACAAATTGTATGCTAGAAGGTTTAAACAGTTTGACCCCATACTTGATTTCTTCCTTCAATGCTCCTACAAAAGCTAGACAAGAAATGTGATTCATTCAGAATTGGATTTCTTACCAATATCTGGGAATTTAAGTCTTCAAACTCCCGCTACAATTAATCCACAGTACCAGTTTGAGAAAGTTTATTGAGTTCTTCCACCACATCCCGTAGTGGTTCTACACTGAATCTGTTGCATAGTTCCTTCTTAAATTCAGGCATCCTACAACTCCCGTACTCGGTATCAACTAATGACACCAAACCTCTGATACACCATTCAAATAGAGAGCTGTTGTTTCTACCTTTTGTTGCTCAAGAATTTTATATGAATTGAAATACCTCTCACATTTTCGAATCCGTACCTTAGGCTCTTGAGTCCTGACCATCAAACCTGGGTAATTCCCAATTGGGAGGGGGTATTAGAACCATTTGTAGGCTGTTATTTCTGTTTTCCTTACTAGGGAAATGAAGTAATCCATCTCATTGTGGCTGCTCTTCATTCCTTCGATTTGGTGCATAACTCAACCTCGGATAAATTTGCTTCAAAAGCCCAAAAATTGTAAAAATCTAGGTTAAGAAGAAACTATGTACACAAAAATGTATATAAAACGGGGTAAGTGAAACTCAAAATTGGAAGGAGTTTGTTGCAAATAATAGGTATAGGTGATTCCCAAACTTGAAGATTTTTTTTTTTGTTTACTATCATCTTTCCTACTAGGCTAATTGTTTTCCAGACATTTCTCTTGTGTAAAACTTATTTTTAAATTTATTTTGCAGGTTACGCAACGAAGCTTTTAAAATTAAAGAGTAAGTTATATTCTTTTTTTTTTAGAAGATAATACGTATTATTCAGTGAGCAGCACCTATTGAATGCTGATAGAGGGATGACACTAGGGTGGGTTAGGGCAGCGCAAGGCATGACCTGCTAAGATTTCGACCCGCCCTACCCTGCCGTATTTAGCATTTCTCAAATAATTGCCCTGCCATACCCCACCCCTCCCCACCCCATATACTTTTTCTTATTTTTTTCTTTTGCAGTAGTCTAAATAAAATTTTCAGAAGTTTCAAAAAAAGAATGTCCCATTTTTAAGTTCCCATGTAGCTGCAAATTTTCAATATTAACATTTTGTAATTTGTCCATCAAACCCATATTCTTGATTCTTGTCTCCAACTTATAAATGAGAGAACTAATTAGGAGAAGTTGTAGCACATGAGTGCTAGTTAATTATATAGTAAGTATATATAATGCAATGCCATATACACCATTTTTTCTTCAATATTCTTTCTTGTGAGCTGTTTTGTTAGCAACATTATTAAAGCCCAGAATGATAGTAGTAGCGTAGCAGAAAAATGGAGGATTCTTAGTGGGAAGAACAGCGGCAGCAGATAATCTTTTTAAATCTAGTTCTAGTGCTGACTAAACCTCAAAAGGTTGTGTTGGATGATGCGCTATGATATTGTATTGTTTTAATATAACCTTAGTATATATTACCTGTATTGACACTTCAATTCACTTTGATATTTGTCTCTAGGTCTAGGAAGTAGCGTCTTAAAGCTGCCCTTATGCCGGAAAGGACAATATGGAGGAATAAATGATGATGGCCTAGGAATGTTGACATTTGTTATTTCCTAGTTGTACTTGTGCACGCTTAGTTTTGTGATGTTATTTTAAGTTGAGTCTTTTTATGCTTATGTAACTCTCTTGGGGTCGTTGTCATTTCTCGTGCCATCATATCAAATTCATCATTGTGGTTCTGTGATCTTCATTTGATGCTTTGACATCTGACCTTAAACTTTGGAGGAGTATCAGTGGACGAATTGGTGACTGCAATATGTTTAAAATACTGTTCTGATTCCCTTTTTTAGTATAATTTGGTCGTTAGTGCCTTATTGTTGTGTTAGGTTTGCTACTTTCACTTTTCTTTTGAGGCGATTCTCCTTTAATTGTGCTTGTGCTCTTGCTTCTCTTCTAGGCTCTGAGTGCGTTTCTTGAATTATCAGCTTCCTCTAATGATGCCATTTGTAAGTGCAATGTACTTGTACTTTGCAACTTATTGTCTTGTTGGTTCAAATTATACTTCATAGTCCAAGTCCTTTATTCTATTCAGCGTGCTTTTCTTGTTTGAATGAATAACACACGATTTATCCAACATTGAGTGATATATTTCACAATTTTCTTAATATTTTTGGGTCATTTAATGGACCTTAGTTCTCTTGTGTTAATTATTACCGGAATAAGAAGGTTTATGTATTGTACGTATAAAGAATACCATAGATCTGGGTCGTCATCTTCTTTGATGGTATACTGTAGGCAAGCCTATATTGTATGTATCTTTCAGTGGGGTTATGTATGCGTATCCAATGCGACTTTATCCGTTGATACAATATGTGGAGTGCATGCATACCATCTTTGAGAGAGAGAGAGAATAAATAGCTCTGGATCGTTGTCTTATTCGAGCTTATGTTGAATCGTGTATGTATATTCAATGACGGATGATTGTATGTTGTATGTATGCATAATCATCCTACAATATTTGCTTATCCAGCGCGATTGTGTATATTAAAAAACATAATACAAGTTCAACCATATCATCAATAACCAACAGTGCCACATCACTGAAATATAGGCAAAACAAAAGAATGTATATATTCCAGAGCGTGCATACATGCACCATAAATCCGTTTCTGATACATACATGATGTATATAACGAAAAATATAGGTGTATATTGTATTTGTATGTTGGTAAAGTGTATGTTTGTATGCACTAATCACGAGCCAATCATTGAAGTATGGATAAATATCATCTTCTTTTTGAATCACATTCCATCCAACACATTTTCTACAAACATAAAACTCATTATAAACTCAAACACCCAAGATAATAATGTAAGAACAAAATTATGCATAAAATATGAGACAATATTGTAATATAACTTTTAGTTGAATATTTGTACACAAATAAAGAGTATACAAAATTAAAGATGAAAATCTAATTAAAAATTTCAAAAATATCCCAAGAAAATAACTTCAAGAGTTCACTCCATAAAAGAGGTTCATTCAAAGTGTTTCCAAACACTAACTCTATGGGATACTCTAAATTCTCTGTTACAAAGAATATTCCAGATGAAATTCTTACAAAAGATGGGATGATTGAGCTGAAGAAACCAGGCCAATATTTATATGCCAAGGTTGCTCCAAAATTAGCCATTTGCATTGCACCTACCTAATTTAGGTCATATTTTACGCACTTGAAATAGAATAATGCAAGTGATAATGTAGACGACTTAGAAATTGTGGTAAGAGTATCTATGGGTCGCGGTCCAAAAGCACTAATTTTCTCTGAAGGTCAAACGCAATGTAAAGTAATTGGTCTAGGTTTCATATATTTTGGAATGGGCTTATTTTTACCTTATTTATAAGAGTGAACACATGTGTAGGAGAAATAGCCTAATCAAAATAATTTGATTTTGTAACTATTAATATTAAATTATAAGGGCTTGGCTAATTTTGACGATGGATTTTGGGATTAATGGGGAGATACTATGGGTAGCACTTCCCTGGAGAATAGGATGCATCCATCCTTCATTGGAGGTCTCAATCAAGCTATGGAGTATGGCCTATGGGTAGCACCTCCCCCTCCCTCTAAAATAAGTGCCACCGAATGGTAAACCGTCCCTACGAGACAAACATTTCCAACAATCCAGAGGAGTTAATATTAAGATTGACATCAAGATGCACAAACTGCAAGACACTGAAGCTGAACTAAGAGGAACTGGGCAGAAAGCTGAAATAGTTGCTCTAACAAAGACAAGTCTAGAAGTTGAGATTAATGGTCCTCTGAGTAATATTGCCATGCTTATTCAAACACAAATTTTTAAAAAGGGATACCACTGATGACCACAAGACTAAAACATATTGTGATGACAACGAAATTCAGTTCCTTCCACATTCCAATAAACTTCAGGAAATTTGTAAGTAGAACATCAACTTAACTTCTTCATAGATAGATAAGTACACATTACAGTTGGATCTTAACCAAAAGGCTGATAAATACACACATACTACTAAAAACAATTCAATAACGAGTGTCCCACTTCCATTGCTTATCACGCTCACGCTCCCTGATGAGACAAATGGCAGAGTGAATTAAAATTCTTGAAACTAGAGTAATTTCATCAAAGTTTAATATGCTCTGAAGCGGAGGACTAGGCAAAAGTATCTATTTGTAAGAAATCATAACATCTATTGAAATGCATTTCTTGAGCACATCAAAAAAATAATTGCAAAGATTCCTTGGTCAATAACAAGCTGCAAAAAGTAAGTCAATATGCAACAAAGAACTCCAGGCACTATAACATATTAACATAGAGAATGAAACCAACAACTCCTCGCACTACAACAAGATTCTCTACAAGTTCCTTTACACTGAATCTAAACCATTTGGTCATGAATGTTTTTATCTTTTTTTCTGGAGTTGAATATAGGAAACTATACTAGGCCATAAAATTCCAGAATTTGAAAAACACAAAAAAGTTGTTTTCACTTCAAATCACTCACAAAATTCAGAAACAACTCCAATTTGTATTCATGGCCCAAATCCAATTTTCAAATACCATTTCTCACTTTGAAAACAAAAACTACTTTTTCAAGTTTCACAATTGTCATGACCAAACGCACCCTGACAATTTCACCAGTTCTCTCCTCCACTTTGAAAGATACAACTCTTTCTTGTTCTTTCAACACAAATCTCACTAGATTTGCAAAGGAAATTTAGGACCCACTGAACCCTTGAGAAAGTCTCCATCAAATAATCCTCCTAAAAGTTGTCATTCTAAATTTTCATTATCCATCAATTCAATAGACACATGTTCAGCAAAGAACCCTATGACTATGAATGCGGGAATTTAAGACAGAAAAATGTCTTTGATGTTCCTTTTAACAGTAATCTAAGGTGTTTTTGTCTCTGTTTCTTTTTCTGAAGAAAAAAAGAAGGATCCTGACGAGGTCTTGAAAAATATGGGATTTGAAGTGGATCAGTTTGGTGAAGTTCTGAAACTCCACAGTAAATTAATGAACCCATGCATCTATCTATGTGGTTACGGGATCCTCTCATCTGAGCACGAAATTATGTCATGAATGGGAGCGTTAGTAACACTATCCTGGGTTATGCAAAGAAGACGCCCTTTGATTGATAGTGGTTCAACTCACAGCTTTGTGAGTCCTCAGGTGATCAAGGCTCTAAGACTGTCTATAGTTCCTTATTATACTAGGATGAAGGTAACAGTTGCTAATGAGCAGATCATGTACAAATTATTGTCCAAATTTTCTGTGGCAAATGCAAGAGGAGCTATTTTGTTTTTGACAATAGAGTGTTCCAAGTTGGAGGTTGCGATTTGGTGCTGGGTATGTACTAGATAGATGTGTTTTCTCTAGTTAAAACTGAGTATCAGACCACACAATCTATCTGGAAGAAAGGTTGATCGCCTTGTTTGGTCACCAGGAGGAGCACACTCTTGACTACTACACCACACAGTCTGTCATTTGTCATTCGTAAGGGAAGAAAGGTTGATCACCATGTTTGGTATCACCAGGAGGAGCACAGACTTTTCCCTACTGAAGGTGAGAAGCTACTCAAATTGTTTAATAAACATCAGTTTAGTGGGATAGCTGTTGTTTGTACCATGAGTAGCCACTATGAAGATGGGGATCATCAGAAAATTCTTAAGAAGAAAACAGTCTTGTTAGAGTCCTTTCAGGAAGTCTTTGATGAACCAAAGGACTTACCTCCTAAAAGACCTTCTGTCATACCATTACTTTACTTTCAGGTGCTCAACCTTTCAATTTAAGGCCTTACATGTATTCCTTTAATCAAAAGAATGCTACTGAAGGTATCATTGATTATATGTTCAAGCTCTCAAACCATGGTACATAGTCATTCTTATTTTGCCTCATTTGTGAAAAAGAAAGACAGTACCTGGAGACCGTGTGTTGATTATAGGAGATTAAATTCATTGACAGTGTAAAACAAATATTCCATTCCCATGGTTGAAGATCTGTTAGATGAGTTGAATGGATTCAAAATAATCTCTAAGGTCAGGGTATCACCAAGTGAGAATGAAAGGGGAGGATGAACATAAAACTGCTTTTAAGACCCATCATGGATTGTGGCAATTCAGAGTAATGCCATTTGACCGTTCTAATGCCCCTGCCACTTTTCAATGATGTTGCTCGGACTCTTCAAAAATGTCAACAGGTGCGTGTCGGTTTCTCCAAAACTAGTGTATTTTTGGAGAATCTGACATGGGTGCGGCATCGAAAGTGAAAAGCCGGTGCAACTACGCTTTTCAATCATTGATGCACCCAGTTGACACAGGTGTGTGTTGGATTCTCCAAGAATACACTACTTTTGGGGGAATCTAACACCAACCCGTTGACATTTTTTGAAGAGTCCAAACAACACAAGGTCATTCCCCTCTAAAAGACATGTTTCAAAACATCTTTAATTATTCAATAAACTGAAGGGCTACAGTGGCCGAGTACTGGACAAGTGACAGATTGTACATAATGTTGAGAATGATTAAAAGGTGGAACAATTTTGAGATCTCCTGCAGCTAATTGATTCTTGAACTATTTTTAGACACACAAATGATATAATAATGTGGAAACAGGGGTGTGTTTACAATTAAGAGCTGTTGTGAAGAACAAAATCATCATTGGAACAATTACGGCCATGTAAAACTTGTGGAAAAGTTGGGCAGCAAAGGTTCTGTTTTGACTTAAACAGAAGGTGCAGAAAAGAGGTTTCCAAAAAAGATGTGTTAAGTGTTAATGGAGTAAATAACACAATAATCTACTAGACAGTAAAAATAAATCAAACTTACTGTTCCCGGATTTCATTCAGTTTAGTGTGAACCCTGCGTGGCCAAGAAACAAAATCAGATCCAGATCCAACTCTGAATATATTGATCTTTCCTTATACCCTAATAATTTTTTTCTTTGCTAATTAAATTGGTTATCATGGGAAAAACAGAAGAAAAATACATACGTGAAATAGAGGATATTACAAGCCGTTACGGCCCCAGCACCAAACATAATACCTGCAAGGGAGGGATCAGAGTTTGAGTTATTATTAATGAATTAATACAAAAAAGAGAAATTAAAAAATTAGAGGGTGGTTGAATTACTAGTCCGACGAAATGAGCGATCGAGTTCGGCAGTGGATGAAACTTTCTGGCAGTATCCCCTGCAGAATCAAAAATAAAAAAATCAAAATAAATTCTTCGAAAGATGAAAATTTGCAAGACACTTGCATACCTGATTTGTGTTGTTGATGCTCCCAGCAAAGCCCTACCAGCCCTAACAAAAAGAGAAAAAAAAAAACTTGAGGATAAATCAAAAGTTATAGAATCAAGATATTAGCTGCAACCAACTCACCTTCCGAATAGGAAAGCCATTAGCGGACAACAATACAATCTTGTTGAAATTAAAGAACCAAACCCTAGGCAGCAGGCCTGATGATGAGCAAACAAAATATTTTTGTGAGAGAAATATTTTATTTTACTTTATTATATACTACTACTTTTTATTTTATATTATATACTAGATAATGTGGCCCGTGCACACGGGCCCAATAATATAAATGATATGTTTTAGGGCTAATAACTGAGTTTTTGAAGCTATTGTTTGCGTGGATAAAGGAATAAGTTTTTTTATCACAAATCTGTATTTTCTTTGACACTATTTAAGGCATAATAAAACTACCTACATACAACATTTTTGAAATATTTTATGTTGTCAATTATCATGATTTATAGTATTTTTACGATAGATTCACTTCAAGAATCAATGGAATTTTTTGTATTTTTTTTCAAAACATATTTTATGTTGTCAATTATCATGATTTATAGTATTTTTACGATAGATTCACTTCAAGAATCAATGGAATTTTTTGTATTTTTTTTCAAAACATATTTTATGTTGTCAATTATCATGATTTATAGTATTTTTACGATAGATTCACTTCAAGAATCAATGGAATTTTTTGTATTTTTTTTCAAAACATATTTTATGTTGTCAATTATCATGATTTATAGTATTTTTACGATAGATTCACTTCAAGAATCA